GGGGTGGGGTTGGAGAGAGGCAGGGCTGTTGTCAGAGGCCTGGGTGTGAACTCAGAGCTCTGGCAGGAAACAGAATTCACCCCAGATGGCTCCAGTGAAGGGACGACGTCACTGTGTGGTCAGGGTCAGAGGAACACACAAGAGGTGACGATGCTCTCAGTGACCATCCCTAAGGTAGAAGGGGCCCTTGGGGACAGGGAGGGCAGTGCTGGTAGGACCCCATGGGAACTGGACTCTCAGAGGGGGGCTCCTGCAGCAGGGAGTGGGGAAGCCACACCCCTCTCCTTCCCCCTCCTGTCACACCCTGTCCAGCTGGCAGAGGGAGCCACCTCCTAGGCCAGAGCAGGGCGGGGCAGGACCGAGAATAACCAGCACACTGCCTTCTTTCCTGCCCTGGGGACAGTCATACTTGCCTCACAAACTCCAGGGGAGGATTGTCGATAAGGCATGTGAAGCTCCCAGCACAGGGCCCAGCACGCGCCGGCCTCGACAGACAGTAGCTTCCAAGTCTCCACTTCTGTCTCTCCCAAACACACACACACATGCGCACACACGCGCATGCACTCCCCGTTTCCTCAAATCTCTGAAAGGCTGTCATAAGGAAGGAGTGAACACGCTCTGGGAGAGCCAAGGGGGAGCCCGAGGACAAATGGTGTAGCAGGCGTGCCCTGGAGGCAGCGCGTGCTGCACGGGAGGCACCGTGCACACGTTTACATACCTCGCTCCTCTAATCCTCGCCAAGCTCTCAGGCAGGTGGTTTCATTCCTACTCATGTTACGTCTCCATGGGGGGTCTGCTGGGGACTCTGCTTCTCATCGTCCTGTCTCTGGGACCCAGGCTGTCAAATGCCACCATCTGAGGCATTCCTGGCCATTGTGGCAGAGGTGACAAGAGCCCTTGGGTTGGTCTCATAGAAATTAAGGCCTGGAAGTTGCACACGTCACTTCTGCTTACAAATCACTGGTCAGACTGGTCAGTGACCTGGTCCAGGCACAGGGCCAGGATGGACAAACTCCTGTGCATCCAGAAGGTGGAGAGCTGCTGGCTGCTTCGTGAGCCGGGGCTTTGCTTCAGGCCCATTAAAGTCCAGGTACAGGGCGCTTTCTGCTGCTCCATGGTCACCCCTGCTCTGGCAGAGGCTAGCTGGGCATCCTGGGGGGTGGGAGAAGGCTGGAGCAGGGGCTGTCCTGAATCCCTTGCAGACCTCCTCCTGTGACCACCTAAGCAGTGTGCCGGGGAAGTTGGCAGTTCTTGAGAAAGATGCTCTGGGCTGTCAGAGCAAGTCCAGAAGAAGCAGAGCACAGGGAGGCCAGCAGAGAGGGGCTGGTGTCCCCAGAGCACCCTCAGGTTTCTGTCTTCACTCTGAGGCTGTCTTTCCAGCTGTGAGTGCTCCTGGAGAGGCTGGAAGCTGTGTCCTGAGCGGCCACATGAGGTCACGTCATCAGAGTTTCACTCGGGCTGCTGGAAACCTGGCAGTACAGCCTGTTCTCGCTCCCTGACCCCTGACTACATCTGGGTGGAATTCCCTCACCCATCGCCCCCGTCCGGTGGCCAGATTGAGGAATCGCAGGAGTGTGACCTTATGTAGGGAGCCTGGCAGGGAGGAGGCGAGCCAGCCCTTCTGGAAGCCTGCTCCGGCCCGGCCCTGGGAGGGCGCAGCACTTGCCAGTTGCTGCCACGTGTGTGGCTCCTGCCATGCTCAACTCCCCAACCACCCCGTCCACACACCTTCAGTTTTCTCCAGTTTCCTTGCCCTGTGGGCTCTCAAGCCACCATGGACCCGTCTTACAGCATCGTGCAGAAACACTCAGTGCTGCTGGCCAGTTCCCGCTTCCCTGAGCCTTCTTCCCCTGGGCTCCTGTGCTCCACGCTCTCCCCCTGCCTCTCCAGAGCCTTCCCCTCAGTCTCCATCCCAGAAGCTTCTTCCGCTTTCTCCACCTGGCCCCTGGGGCCTGTGCCTCCCAGGTTCCATGCACAGCACACTCCTCTCTCCTTGGGCCATTGACCACTGCTATGGGCTCCTGCTTCACTCCGTCCTTTGCTGAACCCCAAACCTAGTCCTCTTTCTTGAATTCTGGGTTTGTTCATCCATCCACTTGGATGTCCCACAAGCTCCCACATTGATCATGGGCCTTTCCCCCAAATTTCCTTTTCCTCCAGTAATTCGCATTTTAGTGACCTGCATACCCGTCCACGAGCTGTCGGAGCCAGAAACCCGGAGTCCTCTCGCTTTCTTCCTCTGCCTCACCCACACCGGCAGTCCTGAAGTCTGACTTCTCCATCGCCACTGCCACCGCTTCCACCCTGCACTGTCACAACAGGCTCTGGGGTACCTTGTTCTCCTGAGCCTTCTTCCTGCTGCCATGAGGATTTCTAAAAACCTGGCCATATGAATTCCCTAATTCTTAAAGCCTTCAAGGTTCCCTTCACCCCAGTTTAAAATCCCCACCCCTAGGAGGGGCACATGGCACCTTTATGACTCAGCCCTGCCTCCTCCCCCCTGATCCCGCCCCAGCACCCCACACTGCCTTCTCTCCCTTGGGCACACTCTCTTTTTTTTCTTGAAATGCCTGTCTTCCATTCCTTCTCTTCTGGATGGCTAATTTCTGCTCATCTTTTCTGACTCAGCTCAGGGACCATCTCTCAGGAAATCTGCTCTGACCAGTCCGTAAAGTCAGTGCCCCTCCTGTGCACTTCCGCAGGATCCTGAGTGAAAAAGCGCTGTGGAAAAATAGGGGTGAGTCTGCCTGCTTGTCCCTTTCTGCCTCTCATTGGGGTGTTCCTGGAGGACAGGGTCGAGTCCAGAGCCTGGCATAAGGCTTGGCATCTGTATTAGTCAGGGTTCTCCAGAGAGACAGAATCAATAGATATGTTATAAATATATGAGGGGGATTTATTAGGGGAATTAGCTCACGCGACTATGAAGAAAAGTCCCACGATAGGCCATCGGCAAACTGGATGCCGATAGTGTGGCTCAGTCCAAGTCTGAAGGCCTCAAAGCCAGGGAAGCTGATGGTGTCTCGGTAAGTCCTGGAACCCAAAAGCTGAAGAGTCTTGAGCTCTGATGTCCACGGACAGAAGAGAAGAGTGTATCCAAGCTCCAGCGGATAGAGAGAAATTCAGGATTGGATGGTTCCCGACCACATTGAGGGTGGGTGTTTCCCACCCAGTCCCCTCAGGCTCTCATACTAATCTCTGCTGGAAACACCCTCATGGACACACCTAAAAACAGAGCTTTACCAGGTTTCTCAGCATTCCTTAATCTGATCAAGTTGCCTGCTAGAATTAACCTTCACAGCACCCATCTGATAGTCAGTCAATTCTCGTGAACAAATAGGTGAGCTGCTGTCTCCAAACTCCCTTGTCTGTGGTCTCAAATCATAGAGGGACCTTGGAAAGTATGCAGCCCAATTATTCATTCCCCAGATGAGAACTGTGAGTTTTAAGGGGGCAAAAGCCCCTCAGTGAAGTGAAGATTAAATCTAGATTGGTGAGCTTCCAAAGACCAGGTTGTGTCCATGATACCTTGTCATGTGCCACCCACCCACAGATAACCACTGCTGGCTATTTGGTAGATCACCTTCTCATCTTTTCCCTAGGCAGATAAATGTATGTCTATTTTTAAAAATACTAGAATTATACTATAAAAATACTAGAAGATTATACTATATTTTACCCATGCTCTAAAAATATATCTGTGGATACCTATTTATATTTGTCAAGGACTGCATAGTTTCCATGTTTTTAGATGCACCACAATACAAATCAGTAATCAAACATAATTGTTAGACCCTCAGGTTGGTTGTACTTTTTGTTTTGCTATTATAAACAATGCTATGAAGAACATGATTATAGAGAAGTTTTTGGCCAATCCTTAATTATCTCTTTAGGATGAATTCTTAAAACTGAAGTAGAACCGAGGGGGTTGGGGGACTGAAGGATTTGCATTTTTTACATCTTGCCAAACTGTCCTCCCAAAACACTGACTAATCAGATTTTATATTCACCAGTGTATCATCTAGTCAAGGTGAGAGAAGACGGTTCCACTGCAGAGAGGTTGGTGGATCTGGCTTGGTGGCACCTTCTCCTCAAGCCACATGTCTCGGTCTGAAGGTCGCCCACTGGCAGCCCATGCACTGTCTTCTTTTGAATCCACAGTGTTTGAAAATATTTGAACTAGAAACCAACTTTATATATCAGTAAATTTTATACCAAAAAAATCTGAAGTTTTGGCTCCTGTTTCTGAAAGGCAACTGTGGCTCTCCCTCTAGACGGGGCATGTACTCTCGCATTTTGCCACAGTCTCCACCTCTCCCTGCTGTCCCCCAGCCTGCTTCATTCATTTCCTTGCCATGCCCCTGTAAGAATTAGGATTTGCAACCTCTATCTCAGTTTCTTTTCCCCACTTAAAATTGGCCCACCAGCAAAGAACTCCATGCTTTTCATTCTGATTAACTACAAAATTAATTTTTTAAAAAACAAATCCTATTTGTAATAATAATATTCAGGTTAATCATTTAGTGAAGCTGCTTCAGAGAAACCCCGAACGTCTTTAACCAATATAAAATACCATGAATCACTTTGGACTCCACAGTGCATTATGTATTTAAAAACAGAAAATTAGACACAGGAGAATTCATCTTAACTTCATTATATATGAAATATTAATTCTCTTCTGGCTCTCATATTATTTACATATTTAATAACATGTTCGCTACAGTCTTTGACTGAGAGCAATTAGAGGCCAGGGGCTGTCTTCTGCCTTAATCTTGAAGATGCCAAAATGTTTTGATGTTGTGGGGAGAAGGGACTGCGAGGGAAAGTTGGATACTGCTGTTTCCATGCCCCTTTTTACATGCTGTAATTTGCTAACCATTATGTGCCTCTTAAACAGGATATTGACGACTTTGGCTGATCCATTGAGAATTCCATTCCTACATCTCCTTCCCCTTCTCTAGTAGGGAAAAGAAGATTGTGGCCCTTTTGTTTTTCTAAAAAACAAAGGCAAAAATTTCTTCAATATTTTTGGGTCCCTTTTTGCTTTTCCTAGGTCCTTTTAGAGCCTCAGTTATCTCATGAGTAAAATGGGGGTAAAATAATAGACGTGTTGGATTGTTGGTTGGGTGAAGGGGACTAATGTGGATGAACACACAGACCCGCATCCCACGTGAGGCAGCTGCCCGACTGGGGTCGGGTCCTTCCTTCCTCACCACAGCAAGGGGCAGAACCATGGCCTCCCTGCCTCCTTGGTGCATCCCCAGAGCTCAGCATGTGGCCCCTGTCATCAGGTCACTGAGTGCACACAAGTGCTATCAGAAGTTTGCAATGGTGAGTGTGTCCCTGAGAGCCACAGCTCCAGTCACAGCTACAAGAATCAGGTGAGGGACAGGCCACCGAGGCCTTGGGAGGTGAATGGGATGAGGTCAGCCTTGACCTGGGACTGGCAGGGTGGGAGGGTTTGCAGAGATCCACTGGAGAGAAGGGGTGTGTGCAGTGTGTGCACAAACAGGGCTGGTGACACTTGGCCCAGGGTCATGGTGAGCAGGTCAGCCTGATGATGCAGGAGTGAGAGTGGGAGTGGAGGGGGACAGAGGGGAGAGGTGTCTTGCTCATTGGATTTTTCTAATGACCACAGAGTATCAAAGTTATAAGGGACCTTGGGAAAAGTCTGCAGTGGGGGATCATCAACTGCTGGCCGTAGGCCAGATAATCGATATTGCAAATATTTTGTTTGGCCCACACAGTGTTAATTATTGTTATTGCTTTTGTTAATTTTCAAAATCTTTTGGAGACAGCCTGTTTTCCAGTTATCCCCGGTCTCCTCCACTCCATGCCTTTACATGACTTATCTGGTTCCTGCTCTCAGCAAACCCCTCTTTCAGTCTCAAGAATGAGGGAACTGCTGTCCCAAGAGTGGACATGATTCCATCCTGGGCTGCCTGTAGCCTGTTGCAGGGCCCTTGGAGGGGCTCGGATGGGGTGCTATGGGGATCCTGGGCATGACGTGGGAGGAAGCTGTGCTGTGCACTCACACGGTTGCAGCTGGAGCGCAGGCTGCTGTCTGGTCACCAGAGCCCTGCAGCTCCCCAGGCCAGGGCTGGCTCACTGCAGCCACCATCAGCACCTCCCACCGTGCTGTCTCCCTCCCACCC